ACCACTAATTATTCCACAATCAAACTGTCGATGACAGGACTAGAATCGGCATGCTCAGGAGTACCTATACTGTGAATTTGAGCAAATTGCGTATATCGCCAGTCGTTTTGTCTCGTCCTTGGAAAAAACGCATAAGGGGGGACCCTTACGTTCTCTATACACACACACACACACACTTTGCAGTAGAAACTCATAAATACTTAAAACTTTATACATATTTATTCATTATTTTTTTCACTTTCTATAACATAAAATGAACAAAATTACAAACACGTTCAAGATCCCACATCTGAGCCAGATATAGGAAATTACCATTATTTAACGGGTTACCGACAACTTATACCATTATCGAACAGAATGGGTTTGGCACCTGTCAGGTCTTCTGAAGGACTCTGACGTGCCCTTGTGAAGGCACGTCAACTACCTAATAATTACCCCTTCAAGAAGAGCATTGCGTCAAGAAAACACGTGAACAATTTCAAAAGGAGATTTCCATTAACGGTGTTCCAGACTATACCCTCAGAGACAACTGTAAGTAGCCTTAATTCAGACCCCATATCTGCTAAAACAAAGTTGAGTGAGGCTACAGTCTAACTACTGACCACAATATAATACTACAGTAATGAAAACACTGTGGACTATGACAACTTTTTCCTACATTGAGTCCCCAAATGTGCTGTAGCAACCATTTAGCTGCCTAAAACAGTTAGCATGAACACACCCACCCAGATCAAAGAGGTGACTGCAACCGAGTAGTGTTCTGTTACTCTGCTTGTAATATTGAAATCTACAGCAGAGGAGCCATTTATCAAGTCAGTGGGCATGGATTCTTAGCTTTCAGTCTAAATGGCTGCTGATGTCTCCAGGTGTTCCCTTTATCATGGGCTGTGGCTGAACTGGTAGATTATGTTTCTTAATTTTTTCAACTTAAACCCTGCTGCACAAGTCCCAAAAACCATGGGGGAAATCAACTCAGTCTGAAGGTTAACCCCATAACGGCGGGAGTCTCTCAGGCAGCTTTGCAACGATCTCCCCATTTGTCGCGCCACAGCCGCTGGCCAATGCCTCCTACCGATGCCTTCTTGCTCCCAAAAACAACCCGACTTTATTAACTGGAAAGGTATATGCCCAAGAATACTATACTCTATGTATATCGACCCGGTTATTCTCGTACCAAATACGTTTCCAGTTCTCCCGTGTCCGCACTTCGATACATTTTGCATCGAGCAACTATGGTGCAGTTAGCAAGTTATTTGTTCTTGTACTTGAAATATATGAACCTTATAAACCCTTACAAAACCTTTATAGTCACATTTTTTAATTACAGTCTGATATTTTATAGTCAACTCCAATAAACTTATCTAACATTCTACCATTAACATCAAGGCTAATGACTGGTGACTAAATGTGTGTAGTGTGATTGCAATTACAGAAAATGTTAATATTAATAAGGTGACCATCATATACTATAATAGCTGTTAAATAAACTAATAAAACACAAGTGGGAGGTGGAAGGAGGGAGAGGTGGTAAGTAATTGGTGGGAGAGGTGGTAGATAGATGGAGGGAGGGAGAGGTGGTAGGTAGATGGAAGGAGGGAGAGGTGGTAGATAGATGGAGGGAGGGAGAGGTGGTAGGTAGATGGAGGGAGGGAGAGGTGGTAGGTAGATGGAAGGAGGGAGAGGTGGTAGATAGAGGTGGAGGATGGAGGGAGGGAGGGTGGTAGGTAGATGGAGGGAGGAGAGGTGGTAGGTAGATGGTGGTAGATGGTAGATAGATGGAGGGAGGGAGAGGTGGTAGGTAGATGAAGGAGGGAGAGGTGGTAGAGAGGTGGTAGATAGATGGAGGAGAGAGGTGGTAGGTAGATGGAGGGAGGGAGGTGGTAGGTAGATGGAGGGAGGGGAGGGTGGTAGGTAGATGGAGGGAGGGAGAGGTGGTAGGTAGATGGAGGGAGGAGAGGTGGTAGGTAGATGGAGGGAGGGAGAGGTGGTAGGTAGATGGAGGGAGGGAGGTAGATGGAGGGAGGGAGAGGTGGTAGGTAGATGGAGGGAGGGAGAGGTGGTAGGTGGAGGGAGGGAGAGGGAGAAAAATTCAACTCTGACAATATTCATTGCATAATTAGTTGGTATAACTTGTAATATTTGATTATTTGAACGCTAACATGAACGATGACAGGTACACAACAATCCATTTATTGGAGTGGAGTATTTACTGGAATTTGTTCTTAAAACTTTAATTATTTACTTATTACATCGTTAATCTATGGTAACATTGCTGTCACAATAAAAAAAAATTCATGTTGAACTGATTTCACAAAATTCAAGGTAATATGTAAAATTCCCTGGCTTTTACTAAGTTTTCCAGACCCCCCCCCCCAAATTGTCTACCTTTTCCAGGTTTTCCAGGCAGTAGACACCCTGGAGAGGTAGTTGAATGTTTAATACATACATTACTAATAGTAAAATGATTTGAAGTACTTGTTATGTGTCTGGTGTTACCTACCCTTACAAACAAAGAAAACGAGGCCGAGCTCTGCAGAAGTGACAGCCGCCGTGACTCGTGAGTGTTGTCCAAGGTGTTGGGGAGTCTCCCTCGCCCAACATCATCTGTAAACACAATCACCCATTACCATTCTTACAAAATATCCACAAGAATAATTCAAAAATACTATACAAAGTCTCAATTACTTTTCAAATGAACCACCACAACTACCATGTATATCTTGTCCTTTTCAAAGCAAAGCAAGAAAAAAATAATACTCATAAACAAAGTAAAGTACAGTATAGTTGTCATGGTCACGTTGACTGCTAGTCTGTTTTAACACTAATGATTCTTATTATACTCCACGAACGCAAAACAAATTGTAGCCTTTATTATATGTTTACGAAGTTGTTATTTGACCCGGATTCCGGACCAAATAACCATCGGCTATTTGACCGGTATCTGCAGGGACTGTACACGATTTTAATGGGATTGTAGTCAGGATGGTTGGGGGCATTAAACTAGTTATTACACAACGGTATTATTTAATTGTAGAATTTTCTGTGGGCAAAAGTATTTAGTTATATTTTAGATTCCTGTCAAATAACCAGTGGTTATTCTGGCAGATACTGATCTACTAACCCCTGCCTATAATATAATACAGTAGTTTTACAGTGTTTTCCGGGAAGCTTCAAGGACCAATATCACATCTCAGTGTGACAAGTTGAGACTCGGCTATACAGACTGTCTGGGCTCATATATGACACCGTTAAAGGCAACCGAGGAAACACTGCTAACCCGTGGGAGGCAAGACTCACTATGCTACTTCACATCATCTCATTAAGTGTTTGTGCGCTTGTATGGCATTCAACTAAAAGTGTGTACAGTAGGGTCGGGATATATAGCGATTTTATATAACGATTGTCATGTCAAGCTCTTGGACTAGGTGCCTACGTTTCGCTTGGAGTGTTATACATTACTATAAAGTAGGGAAGTGGCTATAATGATATTACCAGTTTGTTACGTGCCCATCTTAATGGGATGTATTACGTAGAGGCGTTGTGTGCGTCTACAAAGTTATTGCGGTCACTAATTTTTAAACGATCGAGAACGATTTAACCAAACTAGATACAAATGTATTGTAATGACTTGATGCCTTCCAGACAATATCCATCTCCCTGTATGAGAAATGAAGATGACAGATGAAAGAAACTAAGAACAGTGTCGTCATTTTTTATATTTGTCAATCAAGAATGCATCTATGTAGCACTATTTAATTGTTATGATCAATGTGCTGTGTGTCAGTAGAGGTGCTCCTGTGTTTATAAGACAACATTCAGAACTGTTCATTAGTGTTGGAGTATCAGTCGGTGTTCCTCTTTATTATTGAACATGGCCCAAACTACAATTTTACATGTTTTTATTTTGTATTTCTTCTAATAAATAAATATGACCTTTATTTCCTTTAACACTAGCAACAACAATCATTCTTCCAAACTGAGTTAGACTTTGAACATGAGGGGATTAACAAAATTGAAAACCCTACCAAACCTACAGTAGTAGGTAGTAGGCAGCTATCAAACAGGGAGGTACTACCGCCTGGGAAGATATTGGAAGCATAATGTGTTGTCTAATGGTAGACCCTGCTGCCATTGGCATTACAAAAATTGTGACCAAGTCCCAGGTTGCTCATCTGACTTTCTGTTTCGTTTACACACAATTGCAGGTTTCATTTTTTTCTCTTACTATTGACAACACAACATACATATATCGTTTCTCACTTTTGATTATTTTCTTTTAATTTGTGTATTTCTTTATGGTTCTTTATTTTTATGATTTTTGTATCGCTATTGTTACGAGTTGGGGATTTTGAATATAGTTAAAAATCTACCCAGATCCCAACAGGCAACAAAAAAAACAAAACAAAGACAATCAGACTATAAAAGGGTAGACAAAGGATGGGAGTTTTTGTTGTGTATAATATAGTACCATAAATTCCTTAACAAAATATTCAGCTTTCTATAATTTACCCTTAACCATACTTAACCTAAACATTAACATTATATACATATTTATACAACATACAACATTCTAAAGCATGTGGAGGTGGGGAGGCAATATAAGGTTTACAATACTTAAGTGCAGTGCTGAGATGGCTGACGAGCAAGGCTGGGTATTGTAGAAGACGGTAGGTAGTCACTGTGCCGTAGGTTTCCAGGATAGGTGATCCTGTGGTCATTTCCCAGAGTGAACTGAAATCTGTTACGAGTTGGGGATTTAGAATATAGTTAAAAGTCTACCCAGATCCCAACAGGCAACAAAAAAACAAAGACAATCGGACTATAAAAGGGTAGACAAAGGATGCGAGTTTTTGTTGTGTATAATAAAGTACCATAAATTCCTTAACAAAATATTCAGCTTTCTATAATTTACCCTTAACCATACTTAACCTAAACATTAACAGTATATACATATTTATACAACATAAACAATTTTGAAGCAAGTGGACGTGGGGGAGGCAATATAAGATTACAAATACTTAAGTGCGGAGCTGAGATGGCTGACGAGCAAGGCTGAGTATTGTAGAAGACGGTAGGTAGTCACTGTGCCGTAGGTTTCCAGGATAGGTGATCCTGTGGTCACTTCCCAGAGTGAACTGAAATCTCATCAAACTGGAGATGATGATGAAGACTTGTAGGAGGTGACGCAACAACCAGGATATGGAGAAGGGAAACCCCGGAGTGGTAACCAAGACTAGTCATACTCGTGTTTCGTCCCTAGATGGCGTTGCTCGTCGTGCTGGGTACGTAGATCAGGACAATAGATGGCGTGGTTCGTAGTGCTGGGTAGGTAGATCATGACAATTGGTGGCGTGGTTCATAACACTATCATTATTTTTTTTTATTTTACTCATCTGAATTATTATTATTATTATTATTATTATAATAATAACATTTTCGACCCCCAGACCCCGATGTGGGTCAGTGACCTGTGCCCGGGTGGGCTAATCCCTGTAAAAAAAAAAAAAACCTAACCTTTTGTGATAGACGCACAAAAACTGAATCGGTATACCCGGTTTCATACACAACCAATCGTGGTTACATTTTATGGGTTGTGACCAAAATAGGATGAAGCTACAACAATATCGACGGATTCTTATTGCACTAGATGGCAAAATTTTTTGCGAAATTTAATATTTAAATCTCTTCCATTTTAATTTCACATAATCTGCTGTGATCAATCAGAGGACAGTTCAAATCTATTAAGTGATTTCTGCAAGTGCAAATTTTTTTAAAAACATATTTCAGCTTTCCTCATGACCTATAAATGCTGAAGACAAGAAATAACTCACTGGCAAAACATAGAAACACTGAACACACAAACAAACAATAATTAACCTTTTCTTTTATCATTGGTTAAATAAAGTAACCCTCATATATTATTTGAAGTGTTATGGGTTAGGAAAGGTTAGGTCAGGTTTTATTTATTTTTTCTCAGAACACCACTACCACCAGAAAGAGTTGTTCGATTTTTTCATATTTTCCATAGATGTTCTTATTATAATATTTCAAAAGAGACCACAACTTTTTATTTTAATTATAAGCACTTTTTTTTGCTATGATCATAAATCACCTGTAGTGGGCACGGCATGAAGGTTGGGGGGGAAACACGGGAATAACTGATCACGTTACACTAAAATGATGTCTCTGCTTTGTATGCAATTATTTATTTACCGTAAATACTCCTCCGAAAAATCTACCGATTCACTGCGTCGTGTTTGTTTATAGCCGACCCGCTGAGTCCGAGTGTACTCTCACGTCCACAAAAATACAAATTACACCGCAACATTTCTATAAAGCTGCTTTCATTGGGACCAGAAATCAAAATAAGTACTTTGTTTCATATGGCGAATCCACCCCCTGGCTAGAAAGTTAGGTAAGGTTAGGTACGACTCTTTGGATGGTTATAATAGGACAGATTATACAGTACAGGTATTAGCTTCTAGTAAATGTTGCCTCTTAAAATACTTAATATATAATGATAACACCCGTGGAAAAATTAACAAAATCAAGCTCGTCCCGGTAATGGAGGTCATATCTCCATAACGGCTCATTTATGCCAGAAATGAAGGTTAGAATTGCTCGAAATACAAAATACACCAGGAAAACCTATTTTTGGCATTTCGCTTGTTGTCACTAAATGAATCTCGGGAATTTTATAGATGCAATCAATAATTTTGACAATTCTATGACACTTTTCTTCAATGACATTTATGGCACAAATTACGTTTAAGAGAGATATTTAATATTTTATTATGTATGTTCGTACATGGTGGTACACACCCAGGTTAGTTTAGGTTAGGTTAAGTTGGTTAGGTTAAATCCAAAACTTTTTGTGATGGGTTTTTGTGTGTTTGAACACTTTTTACCTTGATTCTTATAGCTCTAGTTTCTGAGATGTGTGGGGGCAGGGTGGTAAATTTTTACAAGTGGACAACGATTGAGTTTTGTTGAGCAATGTGTTTTTTCCGATGGTTTAGACAATGTTAAAACACGTTTCTTCTACGATGTTTCCCTCACAAATTACTTAAAATTACCTAATCTCCCTGCTATATTTAAGTCATTTGTGAGGGAAACGGCATTGAAGAAAAGTGGGTTAATATTGGTCCATTGGCTGTCCGCAGGTTCCCGCCATGTTTACCCGAGGTTATACTCCTCACTTAATGTCAGTTGTCTCCTCCTTCCCACCACCACCTTGTAGGTTAGGTTAGGTTGGTTCCTTTGGTATGAGAATAGATTTTTCTTGTACTTTTGGTGTTTTACTTAAATTCGACCTCCATTTTTGTGCAAATTACCAGCTTGTTAAAATTGAAAATTTTCTTTTTATTGCACAACACGCTACTTTACAAGAGATATGGTCAGTTTTGAGTCAAACACTGAAAAATCTCGACAAAATACTATTCTCGTACAAAACCTGAGGACAGCTAATGGACGAATATTCACCTAAAAGTGTCTTAACATTGTCTAAACCATCGGAACAACACATTAACAAAAAAAAATCCATGGTTGTCCACTTATAAAAATTCACCAGGGGCTTATCTCAAAAATTATTGATTTGCACCAGAAATGAAGGTCAAATTCGTTCATAACTTCAAAAAGTATAGGTAATACATACTTTCAACTTTTATATCATAGTGGCAACAAGTGAAAATAAACCAATGCAGTATGTCACCACCTCCCCCAGATGACCCAACACAATGGACTAAATTATTCATTCAATACACTTTATGACTCAAATAATACACCAACAACTAGTTAGTGTTATAAATGTTATATATCTGATGCAATATTATTAATAAATGCCTTACCGATGCCTCAGGCGAATATTTTCAGGGCTGTCAAGTCGTCGTACATGATACGTCCTCTACCTTGTTTCTCTGTCTAGTGGCTCCTGTTGGTGATGGATCCCAGAATCACCAGACGAGAAACTCTACCCTGTACCCCGTGATGAAGGTTTAGTATTGTTGTTAACTCATAGATGGCCCTCACCTCCATATCTCTCCTTATCTTATTACTTTTTTACGTTGAATAGATAAACCCGCCATTTGAATAATCATTTATTTCAATTTAAATAAAACTATATTAGCATGTAATAGAGTCTGTGAAAATAAAATGAGTTTTGGCACTACAGAAAATTATGTCTTGGAGGAACTAAAGTAAATTATAGATTTATTACATAACTACAAACTTTGAAGTATTCTCACTACATTCATTAACAATACTGTACGTTAGTAAAGTCTATATGTTGGTGGTACTTATATACTGCCTGGAGTACTTAAGTACTGCCTCGTTTACTTAAAGGGTGAAACTTTTATTTATATTCAGTGTGAAGTTGAACCATTATTATCAGTGGCGGCTCGTGAAAAATAAAATGGAGGGACTGCAAGCCTCACACAACAGTAGGATACACAAATTTGACCTACCTCAGGTATGAGTTGTAGTTGATGTCCACGAATTCCCAGGGCATGGTAGTAGTGTTGGTGGTAGAAGGTGGTGATGGACCAGTATTAATTGAAAATTTAGTCGGCGTGTCTGCTCTTCGATGTAGCAAAATTGTTTATTACTATTTCATTAAAATCCTTTATTTCTGTTATCATTTTATTTTCACTGCTAAAGCAGACAGTCTGTCATTCACCATGGTACTGCGCAAAAAAGTTTTAATTCTCTTCAAAGTTGAAAAGCACCTTTCTGCTTCTGCCGTTGTCATTGGAGGTGTTATTAAAATTTTCAGCAACTTGACAGTGTCTGAAAATGTTGACTGTAGATTATTGTCATTCATCATCTCCAACAAGTCTATGAGACTTTCTGATTTACACAAATCTTCTCTTGTGTACAGTACAGTAAGTTCAGTTCTCAATTTGTCTTTTTCAAGCATGGGATATGCTGCAACTGCTTGTTCAAGTTCATTACTAGGGAAATTTTTGGTATACACTGGAAAATTATTCACTAAAAGTAACTTGCTTGCTTCCAAATGATTAGTAAAGCTGAATCTCTCTCTGCACTGCAGCAAAATTACGTCACAGACCTCCTTTGCAGCAGCTAATTTGTCTGTTTTAAATTTTCTTCTTTTCTGCTCAGGAGGCAACAGCAACACCATCGCATCACATTCGTCTCTTAACTTCTGAACTGCGGAATTAAAAACTTTTAAAGAGGAGTTAGCCTTAGCTGCATCAATATTTCTAGACTGAAGCTGAGAGAACATGATGTCAACATGAGGCATTACTTTGGAGAAAAATTCCAACCAAAATTCGAATTCAGGATCATTCACAATTCTTTTGATACCAGCTGCTGCAGATCCAGTTTCTCTTGAGTTAGATGCTTCCAGTGTGCTGCAACATTCAATCAGTGCATCTTTCATTTCATGCACAGCATTGACTGTTCTGCTCTTGAAATTCCAACGTGTTGCAGATGGCCTTGGAATTCGATGACCAGCAACATTCTCCAATGCAGCCATTCTTTGTGGAGACTTAGAAAAAAATGCTGGTATTCCTGACAAGCTATTGAAAAATACACGAACATTGGTATTCTGTGATGTTGCCTTTCCCAAAATCAAGTTCAGTTGGTGGGCATAACAGTGGATAAAGTGGGCATTGATATACACTTCTTTTATTCTGGTTTGCACACCTTTATTGACTCCACTTAGAGGAGTTGCACCATCATAAGTTTGGGCAAATAGCTTGTGTGGACAATCACCAATTATAGTCTGGAGCTCTTTATGTAACACACTTGATAAGGCTTCTGCTGTCTGATTGATAGGGTTAAAAAATCCTCAGAATCTCTCAACAGGCTTCCCTTGTAGCTCATACCTTAGAACAATTACCATCTGTGTTTTATCGTAAATATCCGTTGTCTCATCACACATAACTGCCAAATAATCTGCATTCTTTACTTCTTCCTTGACCTTATTTTTGCAAATTTCCAACATAGATTCTAAAAGTTCATTCTGTATTGATTTAGATGTTCCTTTAAAAACTGTAGCGGTCTTTAAATGAGCATCTAAGCTAGAATCCAGTTCACAAGCAAAATCAACTAATCCACGAAATACTCCCGGATTCTTAGAGCTCATTGTTTCATCATGTACTCTAAGAGGGAGTTCAAAATTTCCACAAAATTTTACACAGTTTATGATTTTGGATAACACATCTGTTTTTTTTCACCTGTTCATTGTGTTTTGCAACTGAGAGCTTGTATGCTGTGTCAATCTGAGCTGCAATGTTCACTTTACCCAGCAACGATAAATTAATCATGTTATTCATATGTTTGGCTGACTGCTCATGTTTCACTATTTTCTGTGGCAAATGCCTCAAGTCAGTCACACCACTTTTCGTCCATGCCGAGTCCCCACCAAACAATAAGCATGGAAAGCAGAATAAAGTATTTGCCTCGTCACAACCACAGAGCCATTCACATTTCTGATAAACACTGATGTTAAACTGGCGTGTATATTCTTTGTTCCTGCTTGTACTGTTCTGTTGAATGGATAAAACTGGTGTAGGTCTTCCTCTTGCTTTGATTTCAGTCTTTTCATTTAATGTCAGCTGGGAAAAGTTGATGTTTTGCAAATACTTCACTCGATTTTCCATCGTCAAAGGGTAATTAAAGAAAGCACGATTTAACCACACCGTCCACACGTTGTACGAGACTGAGCTGCTTCAAGTGCGGCGGCGGCGCCAATTAATAACAGACATGAATCGTACAGCATTGACAGCAACTATGGAAGTAACTTATATTTTGGTCTGATTTTAATGAAAATTCACTTAGCAACGTATTGAAAATAATTAAATAACATATAAAATGATATATTTGTTGGTAGTGTATTATTCAGCTGTCTCTCTAAAGGAATCATACGCCTGGCAGTGAGTGTCTGGGGGGGGCTGCAGCTCTGCAACCCTATGCACGAGCCGCCACTGATTATTATTGTTTCTTTTCTGTTACCAACACTTGTCACGATGTTGTCAAATAAGACTTCTGAGACTCATGGTTTGCTTGAAAGGATAAAGGCCGCTGCATACACTGTTACAGAGGCCAATGAATTATATAGTAGATTTAGGAATGCATAGAAGGAACCCAACCAGACATTTGTTGAATACGTTTATTTTATTACGAAGTTTAAAGACTTATGAAGAATTAAATGAGCTTAGGGGTGAAAATTACCTACAGATTCAGATGTGTATTTATGTGAAAGTGACAAATGTAAAAAAAATTCCAACTTTGATAATTATTTGTTTTTTAATTTATAATCTTTCACATAAAAGTCAGTTGTGATCTGGCTTTTAAAGTTTAATAAATATAGCATGACAAATACTACGGCTTTCTACGGGCGCCCAGACACACAAACACCACCGTAAAACCACTAATGGTTGTTACGGACAGCCCAGCCCAGCCCCCACCAAAGTGAACCTCCCATCTACTTCTCGTATGGCAACATAAACTGGCCCAACGCACCAGCAATCTTGTTGAGGGAGGAGATAGAAAACGGGAGTCAACACAGCAGAAATTTGCGAAGCTCTCTTTTTTTCCGTGGAAATACAGCTGTTGCAGTTGCCTTTGACAGCCCGAAGTTTGTTACAAAGTCCACGAAGTTGTAGTGGATTTCTCCCCTACAAACGCTGTTTGTCGCTGAGTAGCCGACCCCACCAATTCCCCAGTGTATGCCTCGTGGTCTAGGTCAACCAGCGCCGCCATACATCACGGAGCTGGGGTCAACTACTAAGCCACGCCTACCCCCGCTATTTAAGACCTGACCTCGTGGTGACCTGTCTCTTTCTACCTACACCAACCAGCCAGCAACACCTCCTCCTCCTCCGCCTGCCTGGCGGTCCTCCCTCCCGCCGGCGAGCATGGCGACCCACAGGCTGGTCCTCCTCTGAGCATCCTCACCAATCAGCTCTCTCTAAATCACGCTTGTAACCATGCTGCCTTCCCAGCACCAAGCTGCATTGTACATCCAATACAACATGTATATAGAGAGCACATTGTGAGTTTCCTTTCTCCAACCCATCCTGAGTGAGAACCAAACATCCCATACCCCACAAAGTCATAGTGCACCAGTCGGTGTAAAGGAATTTTCTGGTGGTGGTGGACTTTGCCAGGTTTTTTTTTTTCGGAAAACTTGTGGCATTGGTCGTCCACCTCACCAAGTCGAGAACACCATTACACCATATGTAATGACAAGGTAAAACAGTCGAAATGGGGACGTACACACCCACTTTAAGAAGGAAAGACTTGATCTGACTGTTGTTTTCAGGTAAGCCTGAATATGAAAATGTATGTAAGGTAATATTTGACATACTGAAAATAAAACGGGAACAAATTGTTGGCTTTCAACTCTTAAGAAACAATAAGGTGGTGGTGATATTTGGGGAAAACACTGTTTTTGAAAAATTTTGTGAAGAATATGAAGACAAAACTATAAGAATTCCTAACAGTGATGAGACTGTTAAAGTGATGAATTTTAGTAAAACTTTAACTTATGTATCAGTTAAAGATGCTCCCTTTGAAATGGGAAATGAAATTATAGTGAACATCATAAGTAAATATGGTAAAGTCACGTGGAAGGAATGAGACTGAACAAGTATACAAAAGGACCAGCGGCCGGATTGTTAAATGGGACAAGAACCTTCAAAGTAAATTTAAAGAATAACATTCCATCATCAGTAGCAGTAGGTGGCCATAGTTTAACTTTCCTTTATGCTGAACAGAGGAAAACTTGTTATAAATGTGGACATGAAGGTCATTTGGCAATTGATTGTCACACCGAGGAAGTAGATAAGGTGAACATTTTTAATGAGGAAGACTTCCCTGCGATACAACTTTCTGGTGAGATCCACAGCTCAAGGGCAGGTGTTAAGGAAGGAGAAGAAAGTGTCACAGTAAGTCAGGTTCCAGCAACAACCCGGCATGGGGTAGAAAGGGAAGTGCCTGCTGAGACTATATCCCAGGATGCTGTAGATCCAGAAGGTACCACACACCCAGATGGTTCAGAAAATGCAGCACAGGAAACCTCCACTACATGTGAGGCCGAAATACATACAGAGAGGAATAATGTGGATCAAACTAAAGGTAAAATATTTTGTGGAAATATGAAATATGATAAAGCAGATGACATGGAAGCTACAATTATGACAGGGACAGAGTGTGAAGTGGCAGGTGAAAACATGGATAGAATGAAGGAAATTGTAGAGGTTACTTGTAGCATGTCACCAAGCAGAAACAAGAATGATGCAAGCAAGAAGGACCAGAACAAACCGGGGGAAAATTAATTAGAAATTAACGGCAGTGATGATGAAAATCAGGTAAAAGTGAAAACAGATGGAGGAACGAATGGTGATATTTCAAAAAAATTCTGGAAAAATGATTGTATGAAGCAAAATAAAAACAATGAAAACCAAAGTAATTTGAGAGGTCAAGTGAATAGCCAGACAGAAAATGGATTAGAATGTGGGAAAGGAAGAAAAGATGATGGGGAGAAAATGGATCCAACTGGAAACGATGATTCAAGGTGGGAAAAGGTTGGACATGTACAAAGTTGGACAGTACGAGCAGTTAGTGGTAGTAAGGTGATGTTAAGTAAGAGGGGTGGAAAGGAAGTAGCCAAAAAAGAGGCGAATAAAGGGAATAATAGTGCAGATGAAGAAGGAAAAAGAGAAGTAAAGAGGAAAAAAGTAAATAAATGATTTTTTTATTACATTATTATAACAATAATTAATATGTATATAATGTTTGCAACATTAAATGTGAATGGTCTAAATAGATTAGGTAAACAAATGGAACTATTATCTGTTGTTAAGTATTATAATATTGACATTCTTATGATACAGGAACATAATGTTAAGGATCCAGGAAAATTATCTTATCTAACTGATTATTTCGAAATTATTATAAACGGTACACATTTGTTAAAAGGAGGAACTGCACTATTGGTAAGGAAAAATTCCACTTTCAAAATACTTAATTATGAGATGGATGAGAATGGCCAAATTTTATGTGTCAAAGTTTCCGTGCTAGACCATATAGTTCCTATTATTAATATTTATGCCCCATTGCGGAATACAAGGATAAGGGAGAGAGAAGAATTGTTTTCTGATGATTTATTATATTATATCAGAAATAATATTGAAAATATAATGATTGGGGGAGATTTTAACTTTGTTACCAGCATGAGAGATTATAGCAATCATGACAACAAAGGTTTGGTGTCCAAAGCTTTAACAACTCTTATAAAGGATATAAAACTTAAGGATGCTGCCATGATACATAATTATCAACCTGAGTTTACATATGTTAGGGATAAATATGGATCAAGAATTGTTAGGCTTTATGTTAAGGGGCTTGAGAACAAAATAGTAAAATGTGATACGGTTCCAGTCAGTTTTTCTGACCATTCAATGGTTCTGTCAAAATTAAACATTAACAAATATGTAAAAGTAGGTAGAGGCTTCTGGAAACTGAATTGTAGTATTTTAAACTCCAATGAGGTACAGGAAAGCTTTGGAGTGTTTTGGAAGCATGTTCAGGAGAAAATAAACATACCAGAATATTTTATAGTGGTGGGAACAGTGCGCTGAACTAGAATGCAAGAACTTTTTAATACAAATATGTAAAAGAATGTCGCAAGAAAAATATGGGCTAATTAATTTATTTCAAAGTAGGTTAAGAGAACTTTATGAAGAAGCTAAATACTTTGATGTGAATTTTGAAAAAATAAAGGCACTGAAAACCAGATTAAATGAATAAAGGAACAAAATTTGTGAAATTATTAAAATAAGATCCAGAATAAAAGACAGAATTGAGGGAGAAAAGCTTTCTCGCCATTTGATCTGCAATGAAAAAAGTAACGGAAACAAGGAATTAATTACTAAGGTTAAAAGAGAAAATGGTGAAGAAATAGAGAATACAGAAGGAATAATCTAGGTAATTCAAGAATTTTTGGGGAATCTATATAAAAGAGTTGAAAATAATGATGAATACTGTGAAAACTTTCTAGAGAATTGTAAAACAAGACTAAAGGAATAGGAAAATGAATCTTTAATAAAACCAGTAAACAAGAAGGAAATATGGGAAGCAATTAATAATCTCAACCTTGGTAGATCTCCAGGTAGTGATGGTCTACCTGCAGAGTTTTATAAACATATGTATAAATTTATCAGGGTAGAGATCATTGAGGTTATTCAGTTTATCTTTAGCAATAATGTATTTAATGAGTATTGGGCTTGAATATGTACTTCGTCTGGCGTACGTGTTCTGTGTCTCGTCTAGTGTGTCAATATGTTACACAGCTGTCACTTACTTGGGACTACCAGAAGCTGTCATAAATAATTGACAAAATACTCATTGATAATTTGACAAGCTGGTATGATAAGTAATTCATAATAAAAGGTGATAAGCTGATGTTAGCGCCTCAAACTGTCATATATACGCTTGAAAGCTGTCATGTATGCTTGAAAACTGCCATAAACGCCTCAAACTGTCATGGAATAAGTGACATTCACGTGCAGAGGATGGTACTGACACGAGGTTTTCCCAGTGACACGTGATGTTGAAGACGACATGGGAACAAGGGCCACGAGTTTGGCAGACACTTGATTCAGCTTTTTACCCTCGGCCGGAATCACCTGACAACATCGTCTCAAGTCCGGGGCTGGAGATGACGAGAGTATGTTGCTAAGCCAACCTGACCCATATATAGCCTGGTACCATGGCGTAATACACATAGAAAATAAGTATGCATTGGCGAAACGAAGATATCCGATTGGCTGATTCGCTAAGTAAAAGCATTTGTTTCTTTAATTATGGAAATTTCCTAATATACGCAATGCTGTTTTGAACTCAATTCGTCTTTCAGTGGTTAGGAAAACAGCCAATAAGATGCTGTGATCCCGCTAATGCATACCTGTTGTCCCGCATGTGACAACAGGGAACCAGTTTAACCCAAATATCCGATTTTTTTATTAACATAAATATAATATTATTTGTTTTGCCTCTTTTCCCGTCTTTCAGTAAGCTGTCTCTCCTTTTCCTCTGTTTCTCTAATATGTACCAGGTGTTGCTGGGACACTGTGGCCTAAATACTGTTTATTTTAATTTTCTTCTTCGTCGTCGTATTGTTATTATTATTATTTTCATTATCACTATCATTATTATTATCATTATTACTATCATTATCATCAACACACACACACACACATCAGGACCTCCCACACAGCCATTCCTACCACCTCCCAGAACTTGACCTAAAAATACGATATTGTAAAAAAAAAAACTCTCTAATTAATAACTGGTGAAAGCTTTCTATCTATATAGGTGTGTTTTCTTTTACATTCTCATTTTCTATATACTATTTTCTATTTCGGTAGGAATTATTAAGGATAGATGGAGATAAAAGTAAGTTTGATTTTATAATTCAGTTTTTAGCTCGGTGTGTGTGTGTGTGGGAGTAAACTTTAGCTTAACTCGAATGATAAAACAGCAGAGCGAATATTAATAATGGTCTTGTTGGTGTTTTACCAGGCGTGTGGGTGTTTTACCAGGCGTGTGGGTGTTTTACCAGGCGTGTGGGTGTTTTACCAGGCGTGTGGGTGTTTTACCAGGCGTGTGGGTGTTTTACCAGGCGTGTGGGTGTTTTACCAGGCGTGTGGGTGTTTTACCAGGCGTGTGGGTGGGTTTTTTACCAGGAGTGTGGGTGTGTGTGGGTGTTTTACCAGGCGTGTGGGTGTTTTACCAGGCGTGTGGGTGTTTTACCAGGCGTGTGGGTGTTTTACCAGGCGTGTGGGTTTTTTACCAGGCATGTGCGTGTTTTACCAGGAGTGTGAAGGTGTTTTAACAGGCGTGTGAGGTGTTTTAACAGGCGTGTGGAGGAGTTTTAACAGGCGTGTGGGGTTTTTAACTGGCGTGTGGGGGTTTTTAACTGGCGTGTGGGTGTTTTACCAGGCGCGTGGAAGTGTTTACCAAGCGTGTGGAGGTCTTTACCAGGCGTGTGAGGTCTTTACCAGGCGTGTGGAGGTGTTTTAATGGGGCGTGTGGGGAGGTGTTTTAACAGGCGTGTGGAGGTGTTTTAACAGGCGTGTGAGGTGTTTTAACAGGCGTGTAGGGGTTTTTAACAGGCTGTGTGTGGGAGTTTAACAGGCGTGTGGAGGTGTTTTAACAGGCGTGTGAAGGTGTTTTAACAGGCGTGTGGAGGTGTTTTAACAGGCGTGTGAGGTGTTTTACCAGGCGTGTGCGTGTTTTACCATGCGTGTGCATGTTTTACCAGGCGTGTGGGTGTTTTACCAGGCGTGTGGGTATTTTACCAGGCGTGTGGGTGTTTTACCAGGCGTGTGCGTGTTTTTACCAGGCGTGTGCGTGTTTTAACAGGCGTGTGGAGGTGTTTTAACAGGCATGTGGAGGTGTTTTAACAGGCGTGTGGAGGTGTTTTAACAGGCGTGTGGAGGTGTTTTAATAGGCGTGTGGAGGAGTTTTAACAGGCGTGAGATGTTTTAACAGGCGTGTGGAGGCGTTTTAACAGGCGTGTGGGTGTTTTAACAGGCGTGTGGAGGTGTTTTAACAGGCGTGTGGGGTTTTTTAACAGGCGTGTGGAGGTGTTTTAACAGGCGTGTGGAGGTGTTTTAACAGGCGTGTGGAGGTGTTTTAACAGGCGTGTGGAGGTGTTTTAGGCGTGTGGAGGTTTTAACAGGCGTGTGGAGGTGTTTTAACAGGCGTGTGGAGGTGTTTTAACAGGCGTGTGGAGGTGTTTTAACAGGCGTGTGGAGGTGTTTTAACAGGCGTGTGGAGGTGTTTTAACAGGCGTGTGGAGGTGTTTTAACAGGTATGTTAGGTGTTTTAACAGGTGTATGGGTGTTTTAACAGATGTGTGGGTGTTTTAACAGGTGTGCAGAAGTTTTAACAGGTGTTCAGTTGTTTTAACAGGTGTGCAGAAGTTTTACCAGGTGTTTGGGTGTTTTAACAGGTGTTTAGGTGTTTTAACAGGTGCGTAGGTGTTTTAACAGGTGTGATGCCTTAAGAAATGCTTTTTTAGGGGGGAGAAAATTTTGTTTTGGTTATGAGAGATATCTGTTCTTCGTCTGAGGTGTGAGGTGACCAGTGAGTCATGATAGGTGAGAGAAGACGACAGATGAGAAGTGTGAGGTGACCGGTGAGAGGTGAGGTGACCAGTGAGTCATGATAAGTGAGAGAAGACGACAGATGAGAAGTGTGAGGTGACCAGTGAGACACAACAGGTGAGACGCTCTAATGGGGAGGTAAAAATAATAAAAAAACAAAATCACTTTTTTGGAGAGAGAGAGAGAGAGAGAGAGAGAGAGAGAGAGAGAGAGAGAGAGAGAGAGAGAGAGAGAGAGAGAGAGAGAGAGAGAGAGAGAGAGAAAACGTGATATTAATTACTGTGTCTCTAAGGTGCCTCTGGCCTACTTTTTATATATATATATATATATATATATATATATATATATTATATATATATATATATATATATATATATATATATATAGATAGATAGATAGATAGATAGATAGATAGATAGATAGATAGATAGAGAGAGAGAGAGAGAGAGAGAGAGAGAGAGAGAGAGAGAGAGAGAGAGAGAGAGAGAGAGAGAGAGAGAGAGAGAGAGAGAGAGAGAGAGAGAGAGAGAGAGGGGGAAGGAAGGAGGGAGGTAGGTGCACCTTTGACAGGTGTGAAAAACAATGAAGAGGGGAGAGAGAGAGAGGGGGGGTGAGACAAACAGACAGACGTGTTTTTCTGCAGGGGGGAGGAGGAGAAGGGCTGATGTGTGTATGTTGGAAACGATTAGTATTTTGTCCTAATACTGACGTGTGTAGGGTGAAGGAGAGGACAGGGTGAGAGAATGGAGGAGTGTGTGTGTGTGTTTTCCTCTACATACATACCTGTAATATATACCCCCAACTGCATCTTCACTTTTTTGTACCTTCACCTGTGTCTGTACCTATTATCCTACAATATTTACACCAGTACAATAAGAGGCTGTACCTGCGTAGGTCCCGAGGTATTAAAATATAACCAAAAGGGAGAGAAATTTATCAGTCAGGGTAGATGTTGTGACCCCAATTTGGTGTTGCCAGGGAGACGGAACCAGACAGATACAAGCCCACTATAGCTCACAGGGAGAAGATTACCGTGAGAGCTAACGTAACCAAACACCCACACCCTCTCTAACACCCACACCCTCTCTAACACCTACACCCTCTCTAACACCTATACCCTCTCTAACACCTACACCCTCTCTAACACCCACACCCTCTCTAACACCTATACCCTCTCTAACACCTACACCCTCCCTAACACCTACACCCTCTCTAACACCCACACCCTCTCTAACACCTACACCCTCTCTAACACCTATACCCTCTCTAACACCTAACACCCTAACACCACACCTCTCTAACACACACACCTCTCTAACACACTCTCTACACTACACACTCTAACACCCACACCCACTAACCTAACACCTCTACCTACCTCTAACACACCCTAACACCCACACCCTCTCTAACACCCACACCCTCTCTAACACCTATACCCTCTCTAACACCTACACCCTCCCTAACACCTACACCCTCTAACACCCACACCCTCTCTAACACCTACACCCTCTCTAACACCTACACCCCACCCCCTAACACCTACACTCTCTAACACCCACACCCTCTAACACCTCTCTCTAACACCCACACTCCTAACACCTCTCTAACACCTCTAACACCTCTCTACTCTCCTACACCCTCTCTAACACCTACACCCTCTCTAACACTACCTCTCTAACACCTACACCTCTCTAACACCACCTCTCTCCAACACCCACCTGTTCTCCAACACCCACCTGTTCCCCAACACCCACCTCAACACTCCACCCCAACTCCTGCCTGCCCCCAACTCCCACCGCTCCCCAACACCCACCTGCTCCCCACACCTGACAGCATCAAAGGGACAAGAACTCCTTCAAAGACTCCCACCAGATAACGACAACAACCATACATGGTTCCCAAAAAGTTACCAAATCTCAAAAGGTCTATTACCACCCCCGATCTATACGGCCAGGCAGTAGACAACCTCCCTAGACCAGCATCCGCCAGTAGGGTCGGCGGAATATGAAATAAGGCCCTCAAAACACCCATATATGGGATAGGGTAGGATGTCTAGTGCCTCTACCGACAGACAATAACTAACCCATGACACAACCCTAACACACCATTAGCTCAGCTAGGCGGTCAGCCCGCCCTCTCTTAACTCCTCCTAAATGTCTTCAATTTTTGAACTATAACTTCCTTCCCCCACCTCTAATCTTCTTTCTCACCCCTCCTTAAAAAAAAAAAAGGGGGTCATCCCACATCCTGGAGAGAGTTCCCCGAACCTCAGAAACGAGATCATTTAAGAAAGAGCGAGATTATTGATATCCAACTTGCCGAGGCTCCTCATCTGTGAACTGATGACCGTGACAGGTGCTCAGTTGGTGTGAAATTTCGACGTGAGTTAGATTAATAAATTCACCTGTGTTTTATCCTTCAATATTAAATTTAGACGATGATCATGATTACGTATGAGTGTTTGTGTACAGGTGTGTCATGTTAAGGTGTGTGTGTGCGTCATTAACAAATAATCTCTACCTGTAATGTCATATTCCAAGTGACAAAATTAGATTACATGTTCTCTAAAGGTAATGAACTTATTGGTG